TGCATATGAAATCCAGGATAGGTTAATCTATAGACAGTAACTGGATTCATGGGTTCTTGAGGGTATGGCGGGGGAGGATGGGGGTGGGGAATGGGGAGCTTATAACAATGAGTACAAGAAAGGAGAATATGTTCTAAAATTGATTTTAGTAATGATTGGACAGTTCTTATTGATATGATAGAGCTATTTGGATTATGTGCCAGTAAAACAGTTTATAAAAAGGAAGGGAAAAAAAGAGAAAATACAGGAGAGGTAACAATAGTTAGAACAAGGTTTTGGGGGAACTCATCCATGAGATCGTGGTTAGTGTTCAGTTGCTAACCAAAAGGTCAGCAGTTCCAGGAGGCACAGAAGCATCTCCAGAGCAACAAGGTAGAATGGGCGATCAGATCCGAGGAGCAGAAGCACAGAGCAATATGGGAGGAGAGCAAGAAATAATAACATCTAGCAAAGTATTCACTGGGAGCCCTGGTGGTCTAATGGTTATGTGTTGGGGTGTGATCCACAAGGTCAGCAGTTCCAATCCACCAACCACTCTGCAGGAGAAAGATGAGGCTTTCTACTCCTGTAAAGGAAACAGTCTTAGAAATTCACAGGGGCAGTACTACTCTGTCCTGTGGGGTCACTATGAGTCAGAATTGACTTGATGGCAATGGGTTTTTTGGTTTTTTGGCAATGAGTTCTTAACACGGTTAGGAGTTCAAATCATAGTGAGTGGGGGTGAGTAGATGGTGAAGAGTAGTACTCCTGAAGCCGTATTTATCTTACATGGATCATCTTACGCAATTCAAATAAAAGCCCCCTGAAGTAGAATTTTCATTTTACACATAAGGGGATCAGCATAGAGCTTAAGTGATTTGCTCAAAGTCACACAGTAAATGAAGTAGTGCTTACATTTTGGATAGTGACAAAGGGAAACAAGCAAGTAGGCGCAGTGGATTTGGCTTCTCACAAGTTTGGCAAGAAGTTCTGTTGATCTTCTGATAAATAGGAAGCACTCAAGTTTCTTCAAATGGAGCCATATTTGTGGGGGACTGGGGGAGCATAGTGGTTATAGGTTGGGCTGCTCCTCGCGGGGCTGTCTCCTTCTGTAAAGAGTTACAGTCTCATGGTGTGAGGGTAGGGTAGGGAGCATTAGAACTTATTGTGATGATGTATCAACAACTCCTTAAAAAAGTGATTTAACTATGGAAGTAGATATGTGAATACTATATCAAGAAAACCACTAAAAAGAAGAGTTACAGTCTCAGAAACCCACAGGGCAGTTGTACTCTGTCCTATAGGATTGCTATGAGTCAACAGGGGCTCCACGGCGAGTGTGGTTTGGTTGGGGGTGGGGAGGTGCTGCTGTTTTGTTGGTGTTCCTTAGCCTATTTGGAATGGAAAGATCTGGTATTAGTAGCAGGGTGTCTTAGTCACCTAGTGCTGCTGTAACAGAAATAGCATAGGTGGGTGGTTTGAAAGAACTGAAATTTTTTTTCCTCACAGTTCTGGAAACGAAAAGTTCAAATCAAGGTCTCAGCCATGACGAATTTCCTTATCGGTAGCCCTCAGTGTTCCTTGGTTCTTTGGCAATCCTCCATCTTATCTACTGTGCCTGTCTACCTACTCTGCTCTTTTTAGAATTCAGAAGTGATTAGGTTTAGCACACACCCTGAACAGATGTGGCTTGACAAAGGACCCAATAAAGAAAACCGTATTTCCAAACAGGATTACATCCACTGAGGGTTAGGATTCCAATTTTGGGGGTGGGGGGACTCAATTCAACATTACACAGGGCCAATGGAATCTCTCATTTGTGCTCTGCAGAGTGATTGGTGAAAGATGTGTGGTGGTGGTGTGTAAGTCTTAGGAAGGTCTTTCCCCTGTAGGAGATATAAAACCAGACTGCAATAGGCTCTCAGGTCCAAGGCTGAGAGGGAGATGATGCGAAATAAAACACAAATGGAAACCCACTCAGCCCTTGGATTCTGAGAGAAGTGAGGCCGCCCATGGGTGTCTGGCAGTGGGTCATTTTTTTTTCTTGGCGTGAAAGCAGTTCTTACTGCTCGGTGCTGTGGCTTCGCTCCTAAGGAAACCTTTTCTTTCCTTGATGCTCACAAGTGCCATGCCTAATGCTCAAAGCAGTTTAGGAAGAAAAGGTGTCACTGCATTCTTCCATGGGTGACATTTTAGGGCCTTAGCTCAAGATAACCCTATCAAAACCCTTTCAAAGTCTAAGAAGGCAACTATAATTGTTTGAGCGCTGCTTATTATAGCTAGGCTACTTATTTTAGTCAAAAGGAGCTTTTGTGTTGTGTGCTGCATGTACATTAAGGACCCTTGTAAAATACATTACACAGAGCATTTATGACAAGTGACAGCATAGAGAACATATTGTGATTGAAACATAAAAATTCTTAAATATTTATTGCAATCATATATATACAGTCCATTATTTTCAGTCCTTGGAGAGGTTTGAATTCTTTAAATGACATTTTGTTTATTCTAGCAGTGATTTATTTGAAGACGAGTCTTTTGTCAGGAACAAACCCTCAAATATAACCTTAGAAACACAGAATCCACTTTATGATCATATCATGTACAACACGATATCCAGAAATGCATTGCCGTGAACGTGGACCCTGCTTATGCATCTTTGTAGATGGGTTATGAATGAAGGGACTGATGAAGGCACTGGAAGCTTGGGTAATGGGTTGCCCGTTGAGCTATTAACTGCAAAATCAGCAGTCATAAACCACTAGCTGCTCCATGGGTGAAAAATGAGGCTTTCTGTTCATGTAAAAGATTTACAGCCTCAGAAACCCACAGGGGCAGTTCTACTAAGTTCTAGAATCACTGAGTTGGGATTGACTTGATGGCAGTTAGTTTTGTTTTGGTTCATGAAGGGTGCTGAGCATCTAATTACTAACAAAAAAAACTCAAACAACTAATTTGTAATTTGCCATAATTCAGGTTTGGTTTCTGGAATTATTGGTGTGAAAGTGGATTAAAATATGTATATACTTGTAATGGTATATCTATTTCCACATATGTGATATGTGTCAGTGCCACTTTATCGAATTAAAAATTAACTATTACTTTATAGTTCAGGTTTTCTGGATAATGCTTTATTATAAGCATAAAATTAGTGGGTTTCTCAAACAAAAGCAATGAAATTAGGAAATCATCTAAAAGACTTGTGGAGTAGATGTCAACTCATAGTGACCTTATCAGGGCAGAGTAGAACAATAAGGTCCATTCAGTGCTGTGATCTTTCTCCCAAGGAGGCTGGTTAGTTCAAAAGGCCAACTTTCAATTAGCAGCTGAGTGCTTAACTAAGGCACCACCAGGTATTGCTGACTTCTAGATACAAGTTAAAATTTAATCGCTAGTCACTAGCGATTCAATTTTAGTCAAAAGAGGCTAGTGGACTATCCAAAGAGTCCTGGTGGCACTGTCTGGTAAGCATTGGATTGCACAGGATCGGCAGCTTAAACTCATCAGGGCTTCAGAGGTACAAAGATCCCGTTGTCTGCTCACATGTCTGTCCAAAGATGTGCAGCCTTGGAAATGTAAATAGAGTGGCTGAGTTTCATGGCAGTGGATTGTTTTGGGATAGTAAACCATACCAAACTCACTGCCATCTTCAATTCTCGTCCACCAGCAGCCCTACGGGACTGGGTGGAACTGCCCCAAGCTGTTTCTGCAGCTTTAAATATTTACCAGAGCAATAAAGCCTCGCCCTTCTTCCCCTTAGGGGGGGCAGGTGAGTCTGAACCACTCACCTTGTGGTTAGCTGCCCAATGTTTAACCCACTATGCCACCAGGGCTCCTCCAGCTATGGAATGCTTCATGAATTTGCATGTCAGCTTTGCATAGGGGCCATGTTAATCTCTGTGCCTTTTTGTATTAGTATAGTTACTACATATGATGTCATTACTGTAAATCTGATAAATTATCTACTTTTCACTCAGCTGAAGTGAATACATTGTAACTGTTCATGAATACATTACACTCCATTCATTTTATATTATATTCCCAGGGTGCTGTCAAGACCTAAAGACTGTTTAGGAAAAAATCTGATCACAGCTTAGAGTCTGAGCTTGTTTGTTTTTAGTTTTCTTTGCGCGGGGCGGGAAGCTTCTGATTTGTATCTTCATAATTTAGCATTGTAAATATTGCAGAGTTGACTGATGCTAGGAATTCGAATTCACGATAATGAAGCTCAAGAGACTGATGTATAAACCAGAATGCCAATTTATTAATTTACAAACATAATTGTTCATGTGGATTTGAGGATAGCACATTTTTTTCTCAGGCAGATCTTCAAGGGGAGCCAAATTATAATCAGAAGACTGCTGGTAACCAAAGAATCAAAACAAGGTGCCTTAGTGGGACAATTCAAATGCATGGAGTATTTGCTCCCTGGAGAGACCGGTGAAATTTGCTTTGTGGGTCCATGTACTGCATAGACAGGTTTTTCTTTTTCTATGCTTGCTTTGCTGATCAAAACCCTTGACAATTTTTTTTTCCTTTTTCTATCAGTGCTCCTTTTAAAAATCACAGTTAAAACAAGTTTCTTTAGCTGTTTCCACTTGTGAGACTTCGGGGGCAGTATTGCTCGAGGAAGGGCACTTCTATCCCTCAAGGATATATTTCCTTTGATTTATATTTCCACTTGTAAGCAGGAAGCTATGGCGGGGAACGGCAACTTTATCTGAAATTAAAATTTAGCTGGACAGTGACATAAAGTCATTTGGCTTGCCTGGGTCCGTGCTGGTCAGTTAGTTGGTATTCATGCCTTCGCCACAGGCAGGAACAAAACCCATTTCCATTAAAAATAGCAAAGAAACACGGGGAAATCTTGACCCTGTGAAGAATCCGTACAATTGTCTTAATGGTGCCATTCTTGACTCTCCGCCCCTTCCAGTCTTAGCTCCCGGCAACCAGGGCGAATGGCTGTGAGTCACCATCCTCCTCAAGTCCCGCCCTTTCAGCTACTCCCTCCAGGATGGTAATCGTAACCCCCAAAGAAAAGGCAAAAACGCCAACGTGGAGTTTAGAGGGGCGGAAGTAGTCAGATTTCACTGAGCCGGAAGGCGCGACCGACAGTCTCACTTTCCGGCTGGCGACAACCTCTCCGACTGTCAGTGCCGGCCTTCCGCGTGTAAGGGTATCTGCAGGACCCTTCTTAATTCAATTTCGTTCCCCATCCGGGCCCTTCCCTACCGTCGCCCCCTTCACCTTGGATCATGTTCAAGAAGTAAGGACACGCTATGGTCTCTCCATCGGCTGCTCACAAAGGCGGTGGGAATGGGGCGGGGAAGAGGGCGAGAGCGAAGATCCTCTTTCTCTCTCCCCCTCCCCTGCCATCCTGACTCCCTAAGGTTTTCTATAGTTCTGTGCGCTGCCTCGCAATTTGCAACACTTTAAGCTTTCCAGCCCTAATCTGCAGTTGGGTTTCGGTCTCCTAGCCAACTATTTTCTTTCTGCTTACCCCTATTCTTTGCCCCCTTCCCCAAACCCTATCTCCATTTTTAGGGTTCTACCAATCACATCTTTGCACTGCACTTTAAGGGCAAAGTCTCCCTAACTAAGAAGGGAGACCCGCACTCACTGCCTTATGTTTATTAGTTATGGACGGAATAGGGGAAGGCTTGACTTCCTGGGTCATGGGAGTGAAGGAGTCTGGGTGACAGGAAGCAAGCAGCTTGTCATACTTATCGCTTAGCTGCCAGGTTAACCTTGTCTTGAAAATATCGTGATTAACCCTAAGGCTATTCAGGGTAAGGGCGGAAAAAAATCCTTGGAAACCATCTAGTGGGCTTGCATTCCAGGTTTGGCCGACGAAAAGAGCAAGGGGGAACATGGGCAAAGGAAGGTGGGTCTTGTATACAAAAATATATAGGGAATATGTAAATCATCACTTTAAGAAAATCCTAAACAGATTACATAGCCTAGCTGGGCCAGTTTTCTGTTTTGCTAAGTTTTTATTTTCTTCTGTATCTCAACCCTGGTAGAGGTGCCCTCTCCCCCCTCCACCCTTCTTGGCTTTGTTTTTCACCTAGGTTTTATTATTGGTAGGAAGTCTGTGTTTCTTCCTGGGTAGAATTGGCTAAGATTTTCCAGAAAAGGAGTTTCTGTAGCTGGCTATAGATTAAAATGGGAACTATGCTTCATAAACCCCTCTTCCAGCTAATTACTGTGTACGTGAGTTTATTTGAATGCTGTGTGAAGACATTGGTTTTGTGCTGGGCAGAATAAAAGGGAAATGCTAGTAATTTTTTTTCTTCTCAGAATTATTGTAGGTGTCTAAATACATGCTTTAGATGTCTAACTTGCTATACTGATAATGTCTGCTTAGAAATGCCTTTTTCTCTCCCCCTTGTAAAAAATCATTTGACAGATTTGATGAAAAAGAGAATGTGTCCAACTGTATCCAGTTGAAAACCTCAGTTATTAAGGGTATTAAGAACCAATTGATAGAGCAATTTCCAGGTATTGAACCATGGCTTAATCAAATCATGCCTAAGAAAGATCCTGTGAAAATAGTAAGATGGTAAGTCTCTTTTTTTATGTAAAGCTTTGCGTAGCTGAATATTTAATAAATTATATTCATAAGTAGTATTTTCAACACTATTATATTCTAATACTTAATAATATTCATATATTCAAGTAGTTTTCTGTAACCACAATGTAGCTTTGTTTACTGGTTTTTTTTTACTGTTTTTATTCAGTTTGGAGTAATTGGTTTCAGTTTTTAAGTGGAGATGTATTTTATTGAATCATCCCATTATGTAATGAAACAATGCAAAATAAAGTTGATTGTAAGAGGTCATATTTTTCTCTTTGTCTATCTACTGGACTGGGAATTATAGGGAAAAAAAGTTGAATGTTGTTTTGTTTGACCAGGTCTTTGAGGAAGAAACAAAGTAACCTTAAGCTTATTGTATCTGTAACTGTACCTGTTTATATTTAATGTAACATTTTAAGGTAACATTTGATTTCCAATTTGAAATATCTAACTTGTTACTTTGTAATATTTGTTTTACAGCCACGAACATATAGAAATCCTTACAGTAAATGGAGAGTTACTATTTTTTAGGCAGAGAGAAGGGCCTTTTTATCCAACCCTAAGGTTACTTCACAAATGTAAGTCTTGTAAGAAAATATACGTTTGGGTATGTGGAAAGACACAAAAGAAGTTGAAAGTTATAAAAAGTTGCTTATAGAACTGACTGTCACACAGTGAGCTAGGTACCTAAGAACCCAAGGGGAGGCAAAAACTTCCATGACCCCTCTCCTTATAAAGCTGCAGTCTTAACTTGAGGTGACCTGAATTAAATACTTATACAAATATAGATTCACAAACTGCTAAATGCTGCATTTTCACCATTTCAATTTGTATCCATGTTTGCTGAATAGAATTCTATACAGGAGAAAGCTGTCTAAATGTGGGAGAATTCCAGGTGTCATTAGGTCAATGCTTTGGTCAGATGTTAGGAAACCAAATGTTTCCTATGTATTCAAGGAAATCCAAAAGAAGATACAATCCCAGGGGATAAAAATTTTTGACTAGGAAGTAAAATGCTACTTTTCAGCCTGGCATTCAATCTAGAGTCAAGGGCAGGGAGTGACTAGAAGGGCTCTAGTGGTGTGCTGCTCGTGGTGATTAACGAGTTAAGCAATTTTGTAAGAAGAGATACATTTTTCAATTACCTGGTGGTACAGAGGTCAGGAACAGCAAAACTGTTGGGCAAGTCTTAAAAGATGTGAAGGATTTTAACACTTATAAAAGAATAATTACAAATACCAATTTATAAACTATCAAGGGCTCATGAGGGTGGGGGGAGCGGGGAGGGAGGGGAAAAATGAGGACCTAATGTCGGTTTAAGTGGAGAGAGAATGTTTTGAGAATGATGTACAAATGCGCTTTACACAATTGATGTGTGTATGGATTGCGATAACAGTTGTATGAGCCCCTAATAAAATGTT